ATTAAATATGAGGAACTTCTGAAAATTCATGGGAAATAGAATTAAAATATAAGTTTATTTTGGGGCAAAAAAGTTTGAAATCCATGTAGAGATGCTCATAATCTGCATTCTATGAACTTTTTTAAAACCTCCTCATATATACCTTGCAAATATCTCCTCCTAAGAGTCTAGACCATTACTCTTGCACTATTTTTAAAGTCCTATTATGGGGACCAGCAGATAGAGTAATGGTTACATCACTGGACTCCCATGTAGTCAACCAAAGTTTGGATCCTGGACCTGGCAACTTAAAATTCACACCGGATGTGTGCTTGTGCGTGTCCAAGATCCCAAGAGGAGAATGGAGGAGAAGGGATTTAAACATGGCCATCCCCCTCAAGGATGATTTCTTGCTTCTGTCTCTCTATCTCTCTCGGTGTCTCTGGTGAACATACATGCCCTATAGTAAAAAATCTCTAAGAAAAAAAAATATATAATAAAAAAGTAAAGTCCTATTATGAACAGCAGTTTTAAGTTTTTGTGTGGCCAAAATACTCAATCTTTTCCTATGTCTCAGTTTTTACACTTGCAAATGTGCCCACCTCACAACGTTATGACAGTTCAATGTGATGACACATGCAGCACATAATTGTTAAGTCTTGGGTTCATGATAAAAACAAATAGTTAATTAACTATTTGATGTTATTTTTTATTGTATTCTTTATTAGTCAAAGAGCTGTTGAGTGGAAGGAAAATAATTTTATGCCTAGGGCAAGAAATTTAAGATGTAGCATTTAAAATTTTTTCATTAATTAAAACTCAGATAAATTTTAAATAATAAAACAGAGGTAAGTAGTCTCCTGTAGATGTGGGTGAGATAAGGTAACTGAATATCCAGTAATTTAGCTGACCCAACTGTAGGTCAGGAGTCAAGATGAAGACAGCAATATCTGTGATGGTTGGAACATTTGTTCAGGGGGTCACAGCTAATTGGAAGGAAAGCCAGAAGTAAAACCCATGCATGATGACCTGTGTTTCAGCAAAGACATAATTATCCAAACAGATAGATTGACCAGGATTCTTCTCCTAAAAGACTGGTTCCTGTGCACCTGCACCTGTCAGCCAGGTTTGTGATTGCCCTCAGACAGGTGTTAGCTGATATTTTCTGCTGCTACTTACTCAGAACTTGGTGTGGATGGGCATTGAGACTCAAGTAAGCCAGCAATCTGGCCAGGTCTCATGGAGAACTAGCTCCCTCTATAACACTCAGTTCGTTGTGTAGCATTTCCAGGAAGTTACAGTTTCAAGATCATATCCCTTACCTGGAGACTTTGGACTCCAATGAAGTCCATGAAGGACTTCAGGGATCCATGAGCCCCTCGATCACAATGCACAATTTCCTGTGTGCAGAGGTTTGTTTGTTTGTTGTTGTTTTTGTTGTTGTTGTTGTTTGGGGGGGGAGTTATTCCTTAGGATGAGAACCATGACATTTATCAAATTTTATAGAGACCTATAATCTCCCAAAAGAGTAAGAACCATCAATCAAATGAGCTGAGCCTTTTTAGAATGACCAGATGCTCAACTTCTAGCCCTTTCTTTGCTCTTCAGAATAACCTACACGTCAGAAGGTGCTAAAGCATAGTGTCTCATGAACAGGAGGTGCTCACCAAATAGATGTAACTGTATTTTGCTTTAAAAGGGTGTTTCTGAGCAGCAGGCCACATGGAAGACCTAGCTCCATTCTCTGCCCACCCTAACAGCAGGCACAGTGGTGTGCATCTGTGGTCCCAACTACTGGACAGGCTGAGGCAGAAGGATTATGACCCAGTAAGACCCTGTCAAGAAGAGGAAGAAAAAAAAGAATAAGGCATCCTAGGAACTGCTTTTCTAGTCTTTTATTTGCTGTGCTATTACATTTTCATTTTTTCTAATAAACTTTCCAGAGCGAGCTAGTTTAGTATCACCTGGCCACCTACCTTTTTTTTAATGCTATTATTATACCAAATTCTTTTTTTTTTTTTGAAACTTCTCTTTTTTTTTCTTTTTTTTTTTACATTAAATCACTGTACATCTTTACAGCACACAAAATGGATTTTCCCAGCATGAATTCATTGAATATTAGTCTATGATATTACCACATACATTATCATCAGCAGATAATCTTCCATTTTTGTGTCCATTAAATGGTTTTCTTTTTTTTCTTCCCCTTCATTCCCTCCTTCCCACCCTGACTATCTACCCTCCTCCTACACTGTCTTATCCACAGCAGCTCTCCATACCTTTATATCCCCTAAACTTCCAGTTTCTGTCATAGAGTGACCAAATTCTTCTAAAGTGTCCTAAACTTTTTCTTCTTGACTGCAACAAATTCATACAGTAATCCTACATCATCCTCCACCCTTCGATGTCTTTAAATAAATTTATGTCTCATTTTTTAAAATGACTATTATGTCTGTTGTAATGAATCAAGAAAATATAGAATATACATCTCAGATATACTAATGAAAAGATCAAGACCTAGATGACAGATCAATTGATTTGCCACTAGTCACAGTTAGAAGTTAGCAAATTTTATCCTACACCAGTTCTCTCTCTCTCCTCTCTCTCTCTTTTTCTCTCTTCTGTCTTTCTATATGATTATGTCTCTAATTTTCCTCTCAAAACTGAACAAAATTCAAATTGTTCCTTTCAGAATTTATAATTCCTTGCAAGTTATTGAAATCACCTTGAGCTAGTGGCTGGGTGTGATGTCACCATCTTGGACATCAAACAACTGACTTCATAATAACCAAGTGATATATTTCAGAAGGGCCTGTCCATGAAGGCTGGGATGCCTTCATCTATAAAGGGCCTTCCTAATACTCTGTTAGAAGGTTTGTGTGTCTTATGCTGCTGGTCACCAGAGGAGAATTTGTCTCACCTAACTAGTCTTATCTGACTTGTTCTTTATCTATCCTTTAGTGATTGTCCTTAAACTACCCATAACCTACAACATTCACTCACTACATTCTTGATTTTTTTTCTAGCCAGTTCATTCATTTTCTCTGAATGTTGTCTGGAACATGAGTTAGTCACTATGTTTATTCTGCTGTTCTCTAGAGGCTCAGCCTCAAGTGGTGCTGATTCTTCAGCTGAGGCAAGAGTTGCCATAGGAACAACACCACATGTTTCCTTCCTGCACAGGAAGTTGACCCCGGCATTGCAGAGCTGTTTTCAGAGTTAGGCAAGGCTCACTGGTGTTAGTTAGCTGGAGGAGAATCAATTGATGAGCCAAGGGATATCATTTCTTTCTCTACTTCTCCCTCTCTCTCTGTTTTTGTTGTTGTTCCATTAAAAATTGATTTTATTTGGTTTCACTTTCAAATTATTTTTCTTCCTTTTGTCCATGATAGTGATATTGTGAAATTCAAAACCACAATTTATTTTGGCCAAAGATCTCTTTATTGTCAAGGACTTTGTAAAGGTTTGCGGTCTCTCCAAATGTGAAGTCACGCAGTAGATATTATCACATAGGAATAGCGAAGGCTTTCCCCACAAGCAGGTGAGAGAGTTATCTTGAAAGTAGAATTGAGGGAAATCAGAAAATGGTCTCCCTTCTCAAATAGCTACCTGGCAGCCATCTTCATGGCTGCCAGCTATGGGCCTGAAATCCTTTCAGCAGGGACTTACTCCTCTTGGTTAGGATGCTGCATCACGTTCACCTGTGTGAGCTTGGGCAACTATCTTAACCTCCAAATCTCATTTTTTTTTTTCACTGATTAAATAAGGGATTGGAATATATCACCTCCACAGTTCATTTCTGCTCTGAAAAGGTGTTGTAATACATGCCCTAAGAGAAGTCATTTTTTAATCTATTACTCAGTCATTAACACAAGTGAATAATTTACTAGATTTTCTCTCAATGTTTTAACACAAAACAAGTAAATGTAGGTGATTATGAAAGAAGAAAGATTTCAGGGTACACTCATGTGGGGTCTTCGAACATAAGTTCACTGGAAATGTGGAAAGTGGAGGAAGGGGCTAAAGGCGAACTGGGTCCAGAAAGAAGAGTCAGATAGAGCAGTGCTAAGGACACATTTATACTTGCAATTTTGTCTAGAGAAATTTAGAGTCCCTTGCTTTGGGGGATGCATTCTGAAAGAACAGAATACCTTTAGATATAGAACCTAAAAACACAATCATTGAACCATCTAAGCTCTGTGGAGGATTCAGAAGTTATTAGCAATGTTGAATATAAGCCATTCAGACACCTCGGGCAGGTATCATAGAAGTCCACAGTTACTCATAAGGTGTTTAGGAGTCTAGAGAAAAGTTGCTTCATGAGAGAAGCCAACCTTTCTTTTGGTGAGTACTCTGCCTGTCTCTATATTTTTCATTGCTAGACAAGAGGGAATAAGTCTCCTCCATCCCTACCACTGGACATGGTCACACCCTTCTCCTCCATTTCTCCATTCTGTTGGGATTGGGAGCACACATGCACACACACTCAGCATACTTTTCAATTGCCAGGGTCAGGATTCAAACTGCACACAGTCATGTAGGATCCCATTCCCTTAACCTCTCTTTATCTGCCCTTTATCATGGCCGGCCAATGCCTGTCTCTTCAAAACACCAAAAATGGGATTATTTAAGCTAACAACTTGCACACCAGCAAGACTAACTGCATTTCTATAGTATCTGAACAGGGCTATTATAGCTCCACCATTTGGAGCTTGTGCCATGTGGCTTCCCTTGCAGTACATTCTTCACGAATTAGTTATTTCTTCCTCATCAGTTTTATTCAATGAGTAGGAGGTACTTGTTACAGTACAGGGAAATTCAGACAGGTTAGAGATATGAATGGAATACATTATATTCTTATGTCATGAAATATCATGAGGCTGAATGGGGGGAGGGGGTACTAGAAAATCATTGATGATTACAGAAATCCATTAAGACCAAGATGGTTCTAACTGTAACCCCACTAGTATCTTTCACATCCAGTGATGTTTGGCTAATAGACTTTCAATGTCTTCCCCCAG